TTTTATAAAGAAAATTAATAAAAATATACTATTAATGCAAATATATGTAGATGATATAATACTTGGTTCTACTAACGATAATCTTTGTCAAGAGTTTGCTAAGACTATGCAGGATGAATTTAAAATGAGTCACGTGGGTGAACTTAATTTTTTCCTTGGACTACAAATCAAACAAATAAAAAAAGGAATTTTTATCAACCAAGACAAGTATGCTAAGGAATTAACGCTTTGGTATGAAAAATACAACAAGCAAACCAACACCAATAAGTACAACTACATCACTTGATAAAGATGAAAATGATAAAAATATTGACCAAAAGCTATATCGATGTATGATTGGATCACTTCTTTACATTATTGCAAGTAGACCTGATATTATGTTTAGTGTATGTTTATGTGCTAGATTTCAGTTTAATCCTAAAGAATCACACCTTAAAACTGTAAAAAAAAATTTAGATATCTCAAAAACACTACAGATTATGGTTTATTTTATCCTAAGAATAGCACATTTGATTATCATATAGTGATGTTGATTTTGCCGGATGTAAATCTGATAGAAAAGTACAAGTGGTACATGTCACTTTCTTGGACATTTATTTGTATCTTGGTTTAGTAAAAAGCAAAATTCAGTGTCATTATCAACTACTGAAGCAGAATATATTGTTGCTAGTCTTGCATGTGCTCAAGTTTTATGGATGAAACAAACATTATCTGATTATGGTATAGTTTGTCTCATATCATCCATAATGTGTGACAATAGAAGTGCCATTAATTTATCTAAAAATCTTATTCAACATTCACGTACAAAACATATTAACATAAGACATTATTTTTTATGTGATACTGTACTAAAAGGTGTTATTTCTTTAGATTTTATTTCAACCGATAAACAAATTGCTGATATATTAACAAAACCTTTAAAAGAAGAAATATATGTTAAATTAAGAAGGGAATTAGGTATATGTTCTTTAGAAGATTTAAACTAAGTTTTTAAAGTCAATATATATGCATATTCAGTCTTAATAATCGACTAATCAAGTTTGTAGTCGACTACATGCACAAGTATTGCATATAAAACATTATGTTGATTACAGTGTAGTCGACTAATTTGACCTGTAGTCGACTAATTTGAGTTATATCTGAAATCTAGAATTCTGTTGATTACAGTATAGTCGACTAATTTGACCTATGGTCGACTATTCTGAGTTAGATCCGAAATCCAGAATTCTGTCGATTACAGTGTAGTCGACTATTTTTCTTAGTAATCGACTACATGCACAGATTTTTCACACTTACAGTTTTTGAGCATATTGGATTTTTTACTTATCAAATCCAAAACCCAATACCCATTCCCTATATCAAATTCAATTTAGATCAAATCTTAACCATGCATATGATTTTGTTGATCTAATCTTGACCATACATTTTTAAGTTACAAAAACTACCCTAAATCCTAAACTACCCACTTCAAAAACCGATCCCTCTTCTTCCTCACTTCAGAACCCACCGAATCCAGGTTAGGACATCATCAAACTTTCATTTTCTCCAAAAATTTCCATTAAGTTCTTTGTTTTCTTTAGTATTTCAGTTCTTGTGGTCGACTACAACCATTATTGGTCGACTACTACGTGTATTTCTAGGGTTATCATGAGTTTGGTAAGTTCTTCAACTTGATCTTTCCTAGTTCTTGTTCCTTTTTGAATTATCATGTCTAGAGCAAAGAAGGCTAAGCAAGTTCATACAAGTGTTAATAATGAAATCATTGTCTATTTAAAAAATCCTGATTTACTTGAAGAATTTAACAATATATGTATATTTAAAGTTTTTCCAGGACGTTTTGTGAAATTTGATGATTTCATCTCTTGAAACTTCAGTTCATACTTTGAAAATGTGGGATTGCTTGAATTATTTTCAGCCGAAAATAGAAAACCCACATATCCGTTTCTCGTTCAATTGTTCTTTACAAATATAGAACGTGTATGAACTATAAGTGGAACTGAAAAATTAAAAACTCTTGTGAAAGGAATAGAAATTGAATTGACTTCTAAGTCAATTGGAAAAATCTATAACATTCCTTTCAGAGGTGTTTCACTTAGATCAATCAAAATGAATGATGTAAATTTACTATTCAATCATATTTTTCTTCCGGGTTATGGTAAACCTTTAAATAATTCAAATAAACTTCGTCTGATTCCTCGTTTCATTGCTCGAATTTTAGCCTATAATATGTTTCAAAAAACTGGAAGTTTTCATTTTATTTTCCTAGATTTAGCAAAAACCTTATATGCTATAATTGGGAATATCCAAGTTAATTGGGCTGAAGTTTATTATGACAATCTGTTGACTATACCAAAAGAATTTTTTCCTTATGATGCATTTTTAACAAAGGTCTTTGATAAATTCCATGTCGATCTTGAATCAGAAAATTCCGTCGTTCGTTCCATTGAGTTCTTTGACTCTAATACCCTAACTAGGATGAAGTTAACTAATTTTAAACTTCATGATCAAAATCCCCAAGATGAGCCTCACCCTCCTTAAGAACAAATTCCACATGATATTCCACAATCCTCAAGTCAAGCAGGCCCTTCTTCTAGCCAACAACCACCTCAAATGCAATCAGAAATCTCGGATGTGCAATATAACATATTGTCTGCACGCATCCTTGAGTTAGAGACTAGTCAGCGAGCTCTTTATTCCCAGAACAATTACATCATCAGTAATCAGGATGAGTTAATTAAGAAATTTGATAACTTGGATATAAAGCTCAATGCTTTTTTCCAAGGATATCCACCTCCTCCAGGACCTTCATGTTACAAGATCATGCATGCATCATGTAGTGTTTGGTTTAATATCATGTTTGTGGTAAAAACTATTTGTTAACTTGGTTTGTTTAAGTTTTATGTGTTAAAAACTATGTGTTAGTTATTTGCTTTAAGACTTGTGTAATATGTCGTGTGTTGCTACTATGTTTATGTTGATTAAGACTATGTATGAATTTGTGCTTCTTTTAATCATGCTTACTATGTTTATTTTTTTAAATATTATGTGTTCATGAGCTACTTATATTACAAACAGATTGTGAAGATAGAAATTGTCGAAATTTTGATATTCATGACAAGTCTTTGCCTACCCATATGGATGGGTGAAGTAATGGACTATGTTCACAATTTAGAAGATCTTTTTGAAGTTTTGGCTCATGAAGATGATATTATGATATGTTTAACATAGATGTTTATTTTTTTTTTTGTTAATGACAAAGGGGGAGAATGGTATCAATGTTATGTTATATATAGACTCAAAACTATAAATTGTAGACTCTAATATGTTTTTTTTTTGCAGGGGGAGTAAGTATATTTGTTCATAAATGTTAATTCTTTTAGAATATATTTACATATGCATAAATTGTTAGTCATCATCAAAAAAGGGGAGAATGTTGGATATCATGTCCCCATGATATACTATTGATGATAACAATTTATTCATAATGTCAATCACTATGTGTATGTACTAACATTTTAATGTAGTTATCAATATGAACAAGTACAAGATGAGTTCAAGACATCAAGAAGTAAAGAAGAAGAAGAGCTTATGTATCAATGTAATTTTTATATTTTCTTTACTTAAAAATATTGTACAAGTCTTGATCACTTACACATACACACATAAAGAATAGAACACATTAACACAGGCTTAATGTGTTGGTTAACAATAAAAATCTTCTATGTTAACCATTAGAGTATTTAGTTAATCATTGAGTCTAAAATATTTCATACATAACATTTTTACCCCTTAATGGTCGACTAATTAGATTAGTAGTCGACTACTGAAATCTAAGATCAAAATAAAAGTTTCTGTAAAAATACAGAGTAGTCGACTACTAAGGATTATAGTCGACTACTCAGCTTTGAATTTTGAATTCCAGATTTACAGAGTAGTCGACTAATGACAATAATAGTCGACTACTAAAGAAAATTCTGAGTTTTCTGAAGTCTGTTGAACTCAGAGTAGTCGACTATAATAACAATTAGTCGACTACTAAGACAGTTTTCTGATATTTTAAAATTTAAATTAATAACAGTTTATAGCCGTTTTGTGTACGTTTTTAGGATTTGAAAACCTGTCTTTTCAAGGCTATAAATATGTTATATGTTCAGAATTTTGAGACACGAATTCCTATACATAAGATTCAAGTTTTGTGCATCTTTCAAAAGAATTTTTTTTAGATTTTCACTAAGTGTTGAGAAAAATCATTTTTTGAAATTGCCTTTGATCCTCATTCAATGTACAATCAAATTAGGTAACTTTCAGAGATCCAAAACGTTCCTAGCCACTGCTACACATCACAATACTATCAAGGCTTATAGGAATCAAGCTCTATCAAGACATGTGTTCTCTCGGGTGTGAGAGGTGTAATCTCTTGGTGAAGAGATTGGGTGCAATTTGCGTGGACTTGCAAATTGGTCAGGTTTGATGTTTTAATTTTGTAAGTTTTTTAAAATCATAGTGGAACTCTCAATCAGGATTTGCTTGGAGACTAGATGTACACCTGGGAGGTGAAACCAGTATAAAATTCTGTGTTTGTGATTGTTATTTTCTGTGATTGTGCTATTTCTTTGCAAATTATAATATTCTTTGCATCTATTTTTAAAAGAATACTATTCATCCCCCCCTAGTGTTTTATTGTGATTGGATCAGATCCTACAGTATGTTAGCCCACGATCAATATCAGAATACATACATAACTCATCCATTTTAATAACGGAACTAGACTTTCAAGATGTAAAATCTTTTCAACTTTGATCCTTTTACCCAACTGATGTTTTATAAATATAACTAAATATGATACAAATGAAAGCTTCCTTGATTTACATACATACATGCTATAACCTTCAACTAAACATCAAACGGCATTGGCAGGAAATTGTAAACATAATTGCTTGATAAAGAACAATGTCAATCTCAAGTAGCAAAAGCAGCAAATAGGATGAAGCCAAAATTACAATTATATCAACAAAAAACTCATTAGTTACTCGTTTTCCATCCATGATACACATGGAGTAGGTTGCGAGCTTTGATGCTCCCCGCACTGTCCTGAGGCGCGGGATGTGTGCCTTACCCACCCATAATTCCTCACACTGCAATCACAACCACCATATAATAAAACATTCACCATCATCGCGAACAAAATGCCGAAATTCCACAAAATTGAATAAAACATTGAAAATGCAAAACCTAGTTACAAACCAAGTAACCAAAATTCACAATCCCGTAACTATGAAACCAAATTTCGACCAGAGTCGTATGACTCTAAATTCAGTACACAGCAAATGCAAGATTCAACCAAACTATGAATTTCTACAGGGGACATTACCTAAAAAAAGTAAATTCATCGTAATAAACAAAGTACAAACATCTAAAATCTCAGTAAAAACGACAATAAACATTACAAATTTCAGAAAATCACCAAATTCTCAGTTCGGGAAGAAAGAATGGCACGAATTCAGATTATAACATTCCAATCCAAACAAAACCCTAGTCCAAAAAATCGAAGTCCCAAGATTCTCAATCCAGCTTCAACCATATTATGAATTTCTAAGAAAAGAGGGAATAAAGGAAAATACAAGGAAGATAATTCATATCGATGACAGATACAGAATGCCAAAAAAAATTGAAAAATTTTAAAAATTTTCAGTAACTAATAACCAAAATAAAAAAAATGCCAAACTTCAATAAAATCACAGCCCTAACTCAACCAGAACAAAATTCTCAATCCATAAGCCCAAACACCCAAAATCTCGGTCAACAAACAGAGAGACAGAACGTGAACAACATCTAAAATCTCTCAGTACCTACTACGGCCAAAAACATTACAAATGCCAAAGAAATATAAAAAAATTTAAAAAAAACCCTAACCCTAGCTCAACAGAACCAAAATTCACGCACCTTGGGAGCCCAAAGGCGATCGGAGGAGGCGATCTCGTGCCACCCGCGAGAAACAACCAGCAATCGTGCCACGCTGCGTGCGTCCAAAAACTCAACCACCCTCGTCACGAGATCCGATCCGAGAACCTCCAGCGGATCCCTGCTCGATCCATCGAATTCCTCCCCAGGATCACCGCCCGCTAGATTTTTGGATTCGATCGTCGTCGGCTCTGGCTCTTTCGCCGCTCTCCCTCCCCTCTTCCGCTTCTTCTTCCTCGGCTCCGACCCGTCTCCTGCTTCTCCTCTCTCCCTTCTGGTTCTTCTGCTCGCTGCTTCCGCCATTGAAG